TGATTTAATCACACATAAATTTTTTTTAATCATGTATTTGAAGTTTTGAATTTGAAAATGTTTAAACTAGAATGATACATAAAACTAACAATGAAAACATAAACAATACTTGTTAGATTCAACTAAATCAATATTTAGCAGGATATGTACAGTTTAATTGCCCAGATTATCGAGGGAAAAAGGCAAAAGTTAATGAGCTAGTCAACTACTTTAAGAAGTTAGAAACACAGCAATTAAAAATAGATTCAAAGAGTCAGAAGGAAATAATTTTTTTTTTTTTAACAGGCAGAGTGGACAGTGAGAGAGAGAGACAGAGAGAAAGGTCTTCCTTTGCCGTTGGTTCACCCTCCAATGGCCGCTGCGGCCGGCGCGCTGCGGCCGGCACACCACACTGATCTGATGGCAGGAGCCAGGAGCCAGGTGCTTTTCCTGGTCTCCCATGGGATGCAGGGCCCAAGCACTTGGGCCATCCTCCACTGCACTCCCTGGCCACAGCAGAGAGCTGGCCTGGAAGAGGGGCAACCGGGACAGAATCCGGCGCCCCGACTGGGACTAGAACCCGGTGTGCCGGCGCCGCTAGGCGGAGGATTAGCCTAGTGAGCCGCGGCGCCGGCCAGAAGGAAATAATTTATCAGTTAATTAAGCTGATGTTTACTGGCCATGTAACGTTAGGCTTTGTAGACGTAGCAGTGACCTAAACGAGAATCTTTGTCACTAAATGTGGGAATGAGCATAATATTGGCCAAGGGATTGTGTCTCCACTTCCCCAGCAAACAGCTGTGCAGCTTCGGTAAATCACTTATTCTCACTTAGCCTCCCTTTCCTTATCTGGAAAGGAGATCATAATATCTATCCTATCCATAACCATATGCTTTGGAAAAGTATAAGCATAAATATAAATATAATGAATATACAATTTATATATACAAAAGTACACATATAAAATGATTATTTTTTATATTTAAAACACCCACATTCCATTTGCTATCAATGTCTTCTTGGTCTTGGAGAAATACAATGCCAGCTTGATTTAAAATTCTCCTTTCTTTGTTGGCTAAGGCCATGAAATGGGTCTTTGTACAAAGCGGTCTCTCAGCAAATCCTTATGCTAGGAGAGGTCCGTCTTGTGGCCAGTGGATTAAGCCACCCCTGCAGTGCCAGCATCCCCCATGGGCACCAGTGCAAGACCTAGCTCCTCCAATTCTGATCCAGCTCCCTGCTAATGCACCTGGGAGAGCAGTGGAAGATGGCTCAAGTGCTTGGGCCCTGCCCCAACATGGGAGACCCAAATAGAGCTCCTGGTTTCTGGCTTCAGCCTGGCCCAGCCCTGCCCACTGCAGACATTTGGGGAGTGAACCAGCAGATGAAAGATCTCTGTCTCTGTCTGTTTGTCTGTCTCTGTGTGACTCTGCCTTTCAAATAAATAATTACATCTTTAAATATGATGCTGGGAGAGGCTGGGTGCTTGGCTACCTGATGCTGCAGAATCAAAGACACAGCGTAAATGACCAGATCTGCTCTCACGTGTGCTGCCTATGTCCTCGACTCTGACCAGCGTGATTCTCCCAGCTCTACAACACACTTGTCAATTGCCCTGTCCCTCACTTCAAGATCAAAGATTCTTGGTACATGAAGCACTGGGTTAAAAAATACCTCTCAGAAAATGTAAATTTTTTGATTTGGCATTCTTTCACTGAGCACTTCTTTTTTAAAAGATTTTTCATTTATTTTTAAGGCAAAATAAAAGAGAAAGAAAGAGGTATCTCCATCTGATTCACTTCCCAAATGCCTGAAACAGCCAGGGCTGGGCCAGGACAAAGCCAGAAGCCAGAGACTCCATCTGAATCTCCCACATGGGTGACAGGAACCCAAGTACTTGGGCCATCGTCCACTACCTCCCAGGTGCATTATTAGGAAGCTGGATCAGAAGCCAGAGTAGCCAGGACTCCATCCCAGGACCCCCATTCAGGCTGCAGGTGTCCCAGGCAATGGCTGAACCTGCTGGGCCACAACACCTGCCCGTGCTGAGCATTTCTTAGTGCTAGGCAATAATCTAAGCAGCGGAAGCTCAGAGATGACAATTTCGTGGGCGAGGCTGATCAAGCCCCACAGCATTCTCTCGCTCTCTCGCACAAGTTTACCAGACTGGGAGTAGAACTAACAAAGAGAAGCAGGGCAGATGGAGACAGTGCTGTTTCATTTACTGTTGCCATGTTCCTAAAGCCTGCGCAGGTCTGATGCTCCGCAGGTTCTTAACAAATACTTGCTAAGCAAATGCATACATGGGTCATGCAGATCATAATGAAAGAAGGCCCTGGTAGCAGGAACACAATTCCTGGTAAACACTGCTTGCCTTGGAGACCAAAGAAGACATATTGAATGTAGCCAGCTTCCCTCCACCCTACCAAACTCTTGCCAGGCCTCCCTCTCCTATCTCAGGACCCTTGGCCCCATTATCTCCCCTGTGCTCCCCCTGTCAGATCAGCACTGGGTCCCAGACTGGTCCAGAAGCCACATGAACAGAGCTCTGTCAGCCTCTAAACACCCATCCCATACTAGGCTGAGCTTTGCCTTGTGTACGGCGTACAAAGCTGACTTGGAAGAGGACCACACCCTCAAAGGAGAAAATGACAGGACTTCCCCTGTTCAGAGCTCCTCCCTACCCTATCGTTAATTTTAGATGGACGATCTGGTGAGCAGCTGGCTGCTATTATTAATTTCCTATCTGGCAGAGAAGCAGATTGTGAGTGTGCTGGGGGTGGGAGAGAGGGAAATAGAGGTTATGGGCTCCCTATCAAGGCCACTGTGTTCAGGTCAAAGACAGAACAGATGCTCGGGGAGTTGCATTCAATCATAGACCATAGACCGCTACTATTCTTTCCTACCACTCACTACCGCTGCAATTTCTGTGGTTTCTGCTTCTCATTGTTACAGAATTCTTTCTGAGTGGACTTGTTCTCATGTGTGGGGTGTCGGGTGTGTGTCTATATGTACATAATTTGAAAGGGACCCTGAGTTAGGTTGATTCTATCAGAAAGATGTCTTGAAATTGACTCCCTGTCTCCATCCCATGGATACACACAGTCCTCACTCAGAGCCAGCGCTCCTTGGCCTCGACATTTCCCATTCCCCCTATACACTCCCTGCACCTGCCTTTCCCACCCCATTTCTCTTCACTACTCCCAACACCTCCTTTGGCAACTGGCCATCCCCAGTTTAAAATCCACCAACAGTTTCACGTTGCCTTCTGAGTCGAGTTCTGCCTGGGATGGAATTCAAGACCCTCTACATTCTGAACTAAAATTAACTTTTTGGTCTTCTTTCCCAACAACCTCCCCACCCTGAGATTCAACAGCATCCCATTAGCCTCTGCTGGTACCAGTTCCTCCCAATGAGCTTGTCTTTGCCTCCTGGAAACATGATAAAATTTGGCGACTCTTCACGTTGGCCATTTCTTCTGGGAAATCTGTCCCGACTTTGCCATGCCTTCTCTGCCTTCCCCATATGCCACACTCCACATTATTTTGTAGACCAGTAGCACAGTCAGCATTTCAGTACAGTTGTTGATGCGTCTGTCTCCACAGTCAGAGCTTGAAATCAAGAACTGTGCCTTATCTTTGACCCCTGGAACCTAGCACGGAGCCTGGCATGAGTTTAAAAATTGCTGACTATGTGAATAAATTAACTAACTAAATAAATAGGATGCTGCTCAAGCTTAGCGTTGCATAAGAGTACACCTATATTCGTGTCAAATGTTCTCAGCAAAAATCAATATGTGGTTTGGAAGTGGGGCAGAGAATTTGAAACTGGGAAATGTCCTAGAAAATATGTGTCGTGTTTGCCCCAGACCTGTGTCCCACACCACACCATCGACCTTTCAGGATTAATATTGCCAATATCCCCTTGCTCTACCTAAACCTGCTGCCATATTTCTAAATGATATTTGTCAGCTGTCAAGACAATGAAACAGATTGCTTTTATATTGCTGTTCAAGTCTCTGCTTGGGTCAGCAAGCCATAAACCTTTCAGTGCCCACTGGTAGGCTTGGAGACTGAAACCAGAACTGGGCTGGATTTGCTCTGCCTTCCTTGCTTTATTCCCAGTGCTCAATCAATCAAGTGTCTTGGGAAAACCAAGACTGGTGTATGTCTACCCTTGCACTGGCAGCTATTGTTAAGAAGGTACAATTGGCTAGTGTCTTACGAAGGACCAGGTCCTAGCTTATAAATGTCGGACGAATTGTCTCTTAATTCTCTTAGCACTTTACATATGATATTATTATGATGTCAATATTGTGGATGAGAAGACTAATGCTTAAAGAGATTAAGTCACCTACCCAAACTCCCACACAGCTGGTAAGTAAGCATCAAAGCCAAGCTTTAAGCCCAGTACTAAATGACTCAGGAGTCTGTGCTCTCGACAACAAGATGTTTACTGTCCGTGGAGATAAGACTCATGTATGAACTAATCAGAAAACAGTATTCACTGAGATGCCAAGATGTGGATCATTAAGCCACAAATTATGGTGGTTCTCCAAAGTCAGAATGAGATTTGTTTTCCTGAAGCCTGAGGGATATTTAGAAAGAATGAACCTGAGTTTTATAATGAAACAGAAGTTACCAGAGTCCTGAGGTGTATGTAATCAATAAATTCAATGATTGAAGGTGTAGGGTGGGCAGACAAGAGAACTCGTGGGAAAATGCCTCCAGAGCTAATAACTTGTGTTTGTCAAACACTTCTTGGTACACGTATATATGTCATGACATCTTCACAACATCCCTGGGAAATACAAATACAAAATACTGTTTTATAAGTGAGGACAAAGCTTTGACTAAGTAACTGGGCCTGCATCACCAGGTGATGTTGCAAAGTGATCAGCAGACAGACTCAGGCCGGGGTCTCTGCCTCCCAGCCCCTACACTGCCTTCGGTGACTCCCTACACTCTGAACTCAAGCAGCCTAGCGTCCAGTCTGGCTGCTCTTCCCAGGAGCTTCCCTACCTGGTCCCTTCTGTTCAGTAGGTCCTGCTGGAGTCTCTGCCATCAGTCCAACTGGTGCCTTTACCAACTGCCATGGAAGCTTCCAGGAGCCGCATTCCACCCCTCCCCCATCCTCCTACCTTGAGAAAATCAGGCATCCTGTAGTTCTGGGGCACAGAATTGGATGGACTCATGAAGCCTCAAGCTCCTGAAACTCATGGTTACTATTTCTCTCCTGCAGCAACGTATGCACCATAAACTGAGAAAAGCTGGTCATTGGATGACTTTCCAAGCTATGTAGACATGGTGGAACTCTAAATGGGGTAAATGCTGAAATTTTTGGAACTTTGCTTCTGAGTATCTGGGTGTCTTTTCCCCTTCTCTAAGCTCTCCTATGGTGCATAGTCTAACTTTCTTGCAGGCAATAAATATTGAGCACCTGTTAGGTGTTGGGGATGATGCTGAGTACAGAGCATATGTCACTGAACTCTGCAGAAGAAGTGCTCGCTGTCATGAATCTTGCATCTTGGTGGGCGGAGTCACAATAAATAAATAGCTTGCCAAATGGTGATAGGCACTCTGATGAAAAAGTTAAGGGGTAAGTTAGGGGTCTGTTTTAGAAAGGTTGACCTGAGAAGGAAGCTTAATTAAGTATCAAAAGGCAATAAAAGAACAAAGCCAATTGGCTCTCCAAGCCAAGGACTTTCTGGACACAGAGAACATAGTGTGGGGCTGGCACTGTGGTATAGTGGGCTAAGCCTCTGCCTACGGTGCCTGCATCCCATATGGGCACCAGTTCCAGTCCTGACTGTTCCTCCTCCAATCCAGCTCTCTGCTATGACATGGGAAAGCAATGGAAGATGGCCCAAATGTTTAGGCCCCTGCACCCAAGTGGAAAAAGCTCCTGGCTCCTGGCTTTGAATTGGCCCAGCTCCGGCCACAGCCATATAGGGAGTGAACCAGCAGATGGAAGACCTTTCTCTCTGTTTCTCCCTCTCTCTGTCTGTAATTCTACCTCTCAAATAAAATCGTTAAAAAAAAAAATACCGAACATAGTGCAAAGGCCCTGAGGTTAGCTCTGGTTCAGGCTATTTAAGGAATAGGAAGGAAAGCTGTGTGGCTAGAGCAGAGTTAACAAGGGGAAGGGTGATAGGAGATAAGATCAGAGACAGTGAGGAGCTGAGCCGATCTTGTGTGCCTTGTAGGCCCATAGAGGATTGTTGCTGCTGAGGCTTGCAACCTCATCCAGACAAACAAACCAAGAAACTGTTTTAGGCTAGAATCATTGGGCACTGACAGCAGAGATGAATAAGAACAAGCCTTCATGATCGAGAAACTCAGAGTCTAACAAAGATCAGAAGCAAATAAGCAGGCAGCTGTATCACACAGTACTAAGACTGGGATTAGGTTAAGCCCAGAACAGTGTAGCGACATAACAGAGGGTACTCAATGCAGTCAGAGGAGGTCCAAGAACTGCTATCCAGCAGAAGTGCTCGGCCTAGCAGCTAAGATGCCACTTGTGATGCCTGTGTTCCGTATCAGAGTGCCTGGGATGGAGTCCTTGCCATAGCTCCTGATTTCAGCTTCCTGCTGGTGTGGACCCTGGGAGGCAGCAGGTCGTAGCTCAATTGGTTGAGTCCCTGCCACCCACATGGGAGGCCTGGATCAGGTTCCCAGCTCCCAGCTCCAGCCCGGCCGTTGCAGGCATGTGAGGAGTAAACTGGCAAGAGGGGGAGCTCCCTCGCTCGCCCTCTCTCTCTCTCTCTCTCCAAACCTGTGCTATTTAATAGGGTGGTCACTAGTTTAATGGTGTTACTAAGGGTGTGAAATGTGACCAGTCTGACTGTGGAACCAAATGTTTAAAATTAATTAATTTAAATATAAAAGTTTTCCATTAAACACAAGCTTACCGTTTTGCTAAGACTACATGTCCTTTTGCCTTTGTGTCATGTAAGATTTTGTCGTTGTTTTGTGATATGCGAGTGTTTTGTGTCTTTTTATGTGGCCACTAGAAGACTCACAGGTGTGTGTCTCATACCTTCCTATTAGACAGCACTGCCCTAAGCCAAAGGTGGAAGAGATGGGAAGCACAGGAGGCATCTGGGCAGAGGGAGCTGCACGAGCGAGAACTCGGGTCATAGAGAGAGATTCAAGGAATCACAAGTTACTCGGTGTGGTGAGTCCGGAAGCAAACATGGGCCAGAGGAGATGAGAAGGAAAGGCAAACCGCAGCCAGATGTGAGGGCCTCGGGTAGAACACCACGCACTGAGCTTTCTCATGCGTAGATGAGGAGCTACTGCGGGATCCAAGCCAGGGAGCTACCTGGTCAGCTGGAACTGTTGGAAAGGTTGCTCTGGCTACTGTGTGCGGCAAGAGCTGAGCACAGCAGGAAAGAAGAAGGAGCACCAGTGAGCCCTGGCTGCAAAGACAGGAGGCGGGCGTCCAGCGGCAGTGGACGAGGGGAGTGGGCTCATGTGAGACTTTACCAAGTGCACAGGCTGGCAGCCTTAGTACTGAGCAGGAGAGCAGGGCAAGGGCGAAAGGAGGGCTTCCCATCAGCCCTGCAGCTGCAGGCCCCGGGGGGGGGGGGGGGCAGAAACCACTGCCCCACCCCCACCCCCAGAGCGGAGTGCCTGGGTGAACCACTGAGCTCCTGAAGAAACAGGGGCTCCAAGGACTGACCCAAGCGGCCATGCTTCCGCTCTCTGTAAAGATTACCAGTCAGAGTCGCCGGGAAGAAAACCCCCCCGGAATCACGCTAGAGCGTCTTATTTTGTCTTCATCACCAGGAGTTTTTGGAAGTCGGTGTGTTCCCTGCTGTCAGACACCCAGCTCTTCCGCTCAAAGGATGGCTGAGTGACAAGACGATATCTCTCCAAAACAGTCTCAGGGAAGGAGCAATGTGTTTGAGGTGCTTCCCTCCCTACAGCGCACACAGGAAAGGAATATGAAATACGGGAGAAAGCCAGGCTCCATCTCAGCAGCCTGGAGGCATAGCCAGCTTATGATTTATGCAGTTGTTGGTTGTTACTTTGAGAGGGGGTGGGGAGGATCTCTTTAAGAAAAAGAATACCAAATTTTGAAGATCAAAATTACTAAACAGGTCCTCATGCAAGTGAGGCACCCTGATATTGAAGCTTCGTTATCTTTATGTTAGATCTGCTTAGTATCAGTAGTTTCAGGAGGCCATTGTCTCCATCCATCAAACATGTACCAACTATGCAACGGCTTACGGACGGAAACTGAGAAGGGCACCGGGAAAAAACAGGAATGAAAGCAGACTTGGTCCTGCCCTCGAGAAAGCCCCCTTAGAGGAGGAGGCAGGCAGACAGGTCACTGTGAAGTTACATTACCAGTGCAAGGATGAGAGCTCCGCCCCCAGAGGATACGGGTGCAGAGAAAAGAGACACTCCACACACCCACCTAAGGGCATCTTCCTAGTGCGGCGGGGTGTGTGTGTTGGGGGGGGGGGATGTGTAAGATGTGCTGATTACTTAAACACTATGTAGAAAACATCTTCAGGATAATATTTTGTGTTCCCTGAAGGTGTGCAGTTTTTCAGCCAAAAGTAGAACTCTGAATGGTAAAGCCATAAAGAAAAGCGACAACCCTATCATGGACTGAATTGTGTCCCCTTGCCCATCCCCAGATTCTTGTGTTGAGCCCTGATCCCGCCTGTGTCCATTTACAGACAGGGCCTTCAAGGTCATTAAAGGTAATGCGGTCATAAGGGTGGATCCCTGATCTGAAAGGACTGGTGTCCTTACCAGAACAGACACCAGAGACATCTCTCTCCATCTCTGTAGCTCTCTCTTGTTTTCTCTCACTCTCTCTGGCTCTCTGCCCTCCTCCTGCCTCCCTCCCCTCTCCCTCCGCAGGGCACAGCCTAAAGGCCACATAAGGACAGACCAAGAAGGCAAAGGCTGTCGGCCAGCCAGGAAGAGAATCCTCACCAGAAATTGAATTTTCTGGCACTTATATCTCAGACATCTCCTCTTCAGAAATTCATCTTGAGAAAATACATTTCTGTTGTTTAAGCCACTGAGTCTGGTATTTTGTTACGGCAGCCCAAACAGATTAATACAGACATCAGGACAAGCACGGTCAATCTCTCACCATGCCTGGCCTGGCAGAATACCCAGTGGGGGAGGACATTGCTGCGCCTCCTCTTTCCTATTTCCAGGAAAATGCAGGGACTGTGGCTGGCATCCTCTCACTCTCTCAGGCCCTCCTCAGTCTTTTTCACACCTTAGCATCTCAGGGCTACTCTTAGGGTCATCCCCTGAGGGTCATATTTACAACTAGCAAGCGATTCTCTGCTCATGGATTAAGGCAATAACTTAACAACGCTGAAAGAGTACTTGGTGATCCTTAAAAATAGCTTAGCTCAGCCTCGGTCCTCGGCACAACATCCTGGGCAAATCAAGTCCTGTTTCTGAACTGTAAAAAGGGATGGGTTACATTACTCTTAAGCTTCTTTCTTACCTGAGTAACACTAAAATCTGGAGCTGTCATCTTTCCTGTCTCACTGTCACGGGCTTCAGAGGCCTGACGGTCCCCAGGTCCATTCTCTAAGGAATGGACTCATTCTCTAAGACAGGAGGCACCTGTGGCCAGGATGTCTTCCCAGAAGCCTTCAAATCGCCCTTAGATGTGCAAGCAGCGATACTCCTGCTCGGAAGGCTCATCATCCTCTGCTTCTTAGCATTTGGGGAGCCGCGAATGGGAACCCAGGGATCTCACTGGCAGCTTCTGATTAGCAATAAAGGTTTAAAAGTCTCCCCAGTTAGAGGAGGCGCCTCCATGGTGCTTCTGCATTCCACTTGGACAGGAAGAAAAGAGAAAAGAAGAATGAAAGATGTCAGGGAGGACTCTGCTGAGCACTGTGTCCTGAGACTTCCTGATTTCCCAGGAGCCATGAAAACGAGTGCCGACTTATCTTGCATTTTGGTGCAGGACCTCAAATGCTTCGTGTGCAAACCACAAGCACCACCAGCTCCTGCCGCTGTGCCAGCTTTGTGAGTGAATGCTGGGCAGACCCTCCTTCTGGACCAAGCCTCAGATGCCACAGCAGAGGCAAGGAACCCACCCTCACTCTTGACCTTCTCTTACAGTTCCTCTCTCCACCTGCCTCAGATCCTAGAGTGAAACCATATTGAA